AGGCGCTGCGCGCCCTCGACGCGCTGCAGCAGCAGCAGCAGCAGCAGCAGCAGGGGGAGGATGGGGGGCAGCTGCTGCTGCTGCCTGTGGAGTGCGTCCGCAGGACAATTTTAAAGAGACGAAAACCTGAAGCAGCTGAGTGAGCAGCAGCAAACCAAAAACAACTGCTGCTGCTGCTGCTGCTGCTGCTGCTGCTGCTGCTGTGGCTGCTGCTACAGCTCATGCACCCACCTACTGCACTGCGACTTTAGCAGTTGCTGTTACTCAACCTCATGCTGCTGCTGCTTCTGCTGCTGCTGCTGCTGCTGCTGCTACTGCTGCAGGGAAGGCTACTCTTCTGGCCCTTCTGCTGCAGCAGCAAGTGATGAAAGCCGTTTGCTGGCAGCAACGGCGCTGCTGCACCTCGGAGACCTAGCAGCAGCTCAAGCTTTGCTGCAGGCACTCTAAACCCTAAACCCTAAACCCTAAACCCTAGTTCTAGCCTCACCCTGAAACATCCGAAAAAAGCCAAAGCCAACAGGCCTAGGGTTAAGGGTTTAGGGTTTACAATGAAGGACACAGCGCTTAGGGTTTAGGGTTTGGGGATTAGCGTTTAGGATTCAAACTCTAGGGTTTAGGGTTTAGGGTTTAGGGCCAGAGGCCACGTGTCTCCTCAGGAGATAGAGGTGGAGACAGAAGAAAGCTGCTGCCTGGAGGGCTGGCTGCACTTGGGGCTGCATGCAGCTGCTTCCCCGCAGCAGCAGCAGCAGCAGCAGCAGCAGCAGCAGCAGCAGCAGCGGCTGGCAGCAGCAGAACAGTGCTTCCTGAAGGCGCAGCAGCAAAGTCTCTATTCAATTAAAGGGACTTCTTCTGTTCTTATTTATTTTGGACTTTCGGAAATCCACAAAAGAAGGAGACAATGGCTTCAGGTGTCTGTACACCTCGCGCCTCACAGAGCTGCCTATACACCCCACACCCCACACAGCTGCCTGTACACCCGAAGCCCGCAGCTGTCTGTACAGCTGGGGGCTTTAGCAGCAAAAGAAAAAAGCAAAAGGTAATTAAACTTTAGATTATTTGTTTTTGTTTTGTTTTGTTTTATTTGTTTTAATTGCTGCTGATTAGGCTTTAGAGACTCTTAAAGACTTGGAGACAAGAGAGCCCTGGTTTGCTGCTGCTGCTCTCCAGCGTGCTGCGCTGCTGCTGTCCCTGGCTCGCTGGGGCGAAGCAGCAGCAGCAGCTGCTGCTGCTGCTACCGTGACTCCTGCTGCTCCTGCTGCTGCTGCTGCAGCTGCTGCACCCCACACTCCAAGGGGAAAGGGACAGCTGGAAAGACCTGCTTCTTTGCTGCTGCTGCTGCTGCGGCTCTGCGCCGGAGAGGAGACAAACGAGACACTCGAGGAAAATAGCAGCAACAGCAGCAGCAGCAGCAGCAGCAGCAGCAAGGCCATTCGCAGCCTAACGAAAGCTCTCAAGGCAAATGTGAGCGCTGCCTCATTGCTGCTGCAGACCCACATCCATGCGCTGCAGCCCCGGTTGCTGCTGCTGCTGCATCTGCTGCTGCTGCCGTCTTTTTGCTTATTCGTTTATTCTCTTGCTGCTGCTGCTGCCCTGCTGCTGCGCACACTGCCTCTGCCGCTGTCTGCCGCTGCCATTTTGCTGCTTCCGGTGTCGCTGCTGCTGCTGCTGCTGCTGCACTCTTGGGGCGTCGCTGCTGCGACACAGCTGCAGCAGCAGCAGCAACAGCAGCAGCAGCAGCAGCAGTGTCTGTGGTTTGTGTCTGCTGCGCGCGGAGACTACTGTTGGCTTTAAATTTTGCCTGGAAGCTTCGAAAGCCATAATTTGCTGCTGCAGCTGGACTTACAACGACTGCAGCAGCTGCGACTCCCGCAGCAGCAGCAGCAGCAGCAGCAGAGGGGAAGGCCAGGACGTGGTAGAGGAGGCGTTGTCTCTAGTGCGGGTTGGAGCAGCAAAATTGCTGGCAGCAAAAGATCCTGCTGCTGCTGATTTGCTGCTGCAGTATCAGCAGCAAGTTGCCTGGCTGCTGCTGCTTTCGGGGCGGCCAGCAGAGGCGCAGCGCGAATTTGCTGCTGCTGCTGCTGCTGCTGCTGCAGCCCCTCAGCAGCAGCAAACAGCACTCGAGGGACAAATCCTTGCTGCTCTTTTTCAGACCAAAGCTGCTGAGGCGCAGCAGCTGCTGCACAAGGCCGAAGCGCTCCCAGTAAGACAAGTTTAATTAATACATTTGCTGCTGCTGCTGCTGCTAGTGCTGCTGCTGCTGCTAAAGCTGCTGCCGCTGCTGCTGTCTGCCGTTAGCTGCTTTTGTTACTGGTCCCAAACACGGCCACAAGAAACGCTATGGCCAACAGCTAGCTAGCTACTAGCTAGCTACTAGCTAGCTGCTAGCTAGCAGCTAGTGAGTAGCTAGCTAGCAGCTAGTGAGTAGCTAGCTAGCAGCTAG